ATAACAAATGTAACAAAAATACTGATTTTGCTTCATGAATAACCCAATACATGTGTTTACTTTGCGCAAATCTCCTATTCTTCCCGAACTTAGTTTATGTAAGATCATTGTCACCTACGAGAATAATTTCTTTATGTAAATAACGTCAGCATTACCTACCATTCCACATCATAAATCGTTTCACGAGATTTGTGATTGTCAAGTAGAAATTGTTAACACTTTACAAACTCAGGTCATTATTTGATACCTAGCAACGACACTTTTACTGTAATAAATCACCTAGTTTCACTATTATGACTTATACTCCAACGCAAGGGGAAAATATGACTTGGTGCGAATCCGCAGTTATTTTAACTTGTACGAATGACTGACTCCGACAATTAAATAAAAACACGTTTTCGGCCATTCTCCGATTAGCAAGTTTACGTGTCGTGGCTAGCTATAAAATTAATAATATATTAAACCATATTTTTTATATGTTAGATAATATAGGTACAGTATCTAGCTGTAAACAAAAATATCGGCTTCTGTTTTAGTTATATAGATAAGACTAAATAAATTTACCCTATGTTTACGGAACCTCTGTTGTCTAATTACCGTGGAGTGCCTAGTTGCCTAGTTGGTGTGCAACGTAATGTTACAAATTATTTGTAATTTTTATAACGTAGATACAGATTAAATGATATTTTACGAAGATGATATTTTCCAATTACAGTTACATCCAATATTAATTATTTTGTAATTACCTACCACACTCATAAAACCTATAAGGCTCATTAACTGGAAAACCACTATAAATTGTTAAGTACCTCATTCATTTTATGTCTTTTTTAACACTAACCTGGGCACTAGCACTGTCCACACTTACCTGTGGACAGTGCTATGGGTTACATTTTATCCGATTAACTTATAATTTGTAACACTACTTAATTACGTTTTGATAATCTGTTTGCTATTCTTATGATTTTACCTAAGTAAAATAAAATAATTACTGTATGTGTATCTTTGATTTCTTTCATATCTAAATGTGTTTAAGTGCAATCAGTGAAAATTAAAAAAGGTTCCGGTAATTAGGCAAAGAACGCCGAATTGAAGAATGTCCGTTTTTCTGGCAACATGTAATTACCATCAACGTCATTGAATGTAAGTTGAATGAGACGAGACGTCGGCATCATTATAATAGTAATGTGACCTTACTCTTTCACTATAAAATATTTAACCAAGAGGTTGGTTGGCCCAGACGTTTTCTTTATTTTGCGTGAAATTATCTATGAATGGCGGTATGCGAATGTGAGTGCGCATGCAGACGTTGATGAGCACGGGAACATTTTTTACTGTAAATAGGTACATAGTGGTTTAAAATTATAGTTTTCTAAGTTCTGTGGTTAGGTTAGCTTTGTTTTCTTTAAATAAAAAAAAATAAGATTTTGTTTTCAGAATCGTAAACAATTTACTTATTTTGTATATTTTAGTAATAAATACATGAACATAACTGTGTAGATAATTTAATAAAGTTATTTAACGGTATGCATATTATGTTACATACTGGACAACTTAACTAGACTACTTTGGACGTTAATAGGACAATGAAATATCACGAGTATTTATTTATAGATAAAGACAACATAAACAATATTAAACTATCAGCTTATCAGCACATTTCGTACGAATTCATACCAATACAAATAAAATATTACAAACAGATACAAGGAATTTAACAAATCGGTGTCATAATCTGCATTCGAAACACATGTGCCTGTGTGGTCACAGGTTCAAAATCAGCGAGTATCAGAGGGAGTGCCGAGGCGAGCGGTCGTGCTGTGGCGAGTGCTCGAGTCTACCGTATAAATAAAACACGCCATCCACAGGTACTTGTGCGCTCTAATAACCTACCTAGTAACTAAACCACTGGCGAACGATTGTGCCTCGCTCCTCGGGGTCAAGACAGTTCACTGCCAGCACAGCTAGCCCACGAGGGTCATTGCCGCTACATCCAGCATACATGAGGTACATGTATATTTATTTGCATGCCGTCTGTGTTCGGATCATCCGACAAGAAATGTATGATTGATTGACAATGCACTCACGCTCGCGCCCGACCGGCCCATAATCTTGCACACTCTAGTCTAGACCACAGTGACCAGTAGTGAGGATGACGGTCACGAGTTTACACATGGCAAATTATCAAAATGATTTTATAAATATGTGTACAACTAACATTTAAATGTTATAAAACTTTTCGCAACCAGATTGCGAAAGGTCAAATCTTGGTTATTATAATGTTGACCTCTAAACAATAATATGAGTTAAAACATGGTAATGATGAAAGTGAAATCTTAAAAGATTAAAAATAGGTATAAATTGTTATTTAAAGCTTCACCTAATTAAAGTAACTTGAAGTAACGTTAAAATTGTAACGGAACTATTTGTTGTATTTTAATAAAATTAGATGTAAATATACCCTGCATACGTTCCATAGAATAGGTACGTGTTACAAAAACTTTACATTAACATTATTATAATAACAACAAAATGGATTTTAGCAGTAATATTAAAAACATTTATACAGTCTGTGGGAATATAAATATTCTGGCAAAGCAGGTATTTGTTTCAATATTTTTTTGTCACTTTTTAGATACTTAACGTGTATAAAGCAAATATTAAAGACTTCTTTGGCATGAACAACTAATTGTATAAAATAGTCAGTAAAAACAAATAAACAGTTAAATATTTAACAAATAATGTCTTTGTTAAGCAATAGACAATCAGGTTTGGTTTTAGTTTTTAATTTTTACTTTTAGTCTTAGCAAAATAATTTATTATTCAAAGCAGGCAGTTGAACGTCCACCAAGGTATACCATCTTGGAAACAGTCAGTCGAGCAATGCATTATAGATATAGGTACGATAAATAATTAATTGTACAATAATAAAACGTATACATAGTAGTTGTAGTCTAAACAAAATGACTGTATTTTGGACTAATTAAAGTATAATTGTATGTCCATAAACAAAGGTATTGTATAGTTATCCTTAATGTAGGTAATGAATAATAATAAAGTGACTACACTTTACACAGCTGTATATAAGGTAAATTGAACTATTTTTATTTGTTCAAAGTCATAGCATAACTATACCTAATGGATTTAATAAACACTCATTTAACTTTTGTATACAAAATAAATATTTTACAGATATGATATGTATGAACTCATGTCAAATGTCCAGACGTTTTGGATGTCGCGGAGAACCTAACGGGTAACCGGGGCTCCGGCTCGACGTGCAGGAGAAAGAACGGGGTGGTTTTTAGTCAGTAAGAGTCTGACACTCCCTTCCGCCTCACCCAGGCGGGAGCAGTCATTCGATGATTTTCCCCCCTTAAAAAAAAAAAAGACGTTTTGGATCCTATTTCTAGGTTTGAATCTACAAAGCGGGGTCTCATTTTATTCCTACTAAGCTAGGACTGTTTTCGTCTCCAACCTTACATCGTCCTTCATATTTCTGAGTTCAATCTGAGGTTCTGAGGTGTTGTCTCAGTAGTAAAGCAATTAATCCAACTAGGAATGAGAAAGTTACTTTCTCATCACAGCTGGTACTGATATCTGGTTAAGACACATTCTATCTTTTTTGTTGTAATTGATTTGAACTGCAGACGAAAACAGGAAATTATTTTACACTACATACATGTACTGAGCATTATTTATCCGTGTTTGAATGTTTGCTTTTATGAGCAAATTCAAGTTGTGTTTTTTTTTTAATTTCGTTTGCTGTGCTCATACCGGTAACAATACAAAGATTTAGGTATCGCATTATAACAATCTTTTCGTAAAACCAATATTTTTGATAAAACCTTATTTATTTATTTATGTATACACATTCAACACAGAGGACAATACATAATAAAAAAACAGAGTACATAGGCCCCACATATTCCAACTGGAATTTCTTCCTGTGGGCCTGTGGCAGGAAAAGAAATAACAACACTGAGCCACATAGTTACACAAACAAGATAAAAACTTTGTTATAATAGGATTGATGAAATAAAACTAAGTCTACTTATCAAATAACAGAGGTGTTTATTGTAATACTTTGAGATGCCTGAAGGTGTAAGCAGGTCGGATAAAGCCGAGATACAAACATCTGCAGTGAGGGTTGGTTGGCCACGTAATAAAATCGGTTCGTGAGAAATATAGATTGATTTTTGTTATTCCAATAGATCTTCATGTCTGCCCCATACATTATTTCCATAACGTATTTTTTTGTTTAACTGTCTCATTGGCTCTGAGTGGTCGCAAGTACGACTTCCGGGCAAGGGGTTTCGGGTTCGATACCCGGGTCGGCTATTTCTTAGTCGTAGTTATTTTTTGCTCGAAAAACAAATCATTTAATTTTTATATTTTGTAAAAACAGAAGCAGATATCATCAATTTAATTAAATATAACCTTTTTTTCAACGATCTTAAGTTAAAAGGTTATGGTTATATTTAAACTTCTTTTACACGACCTACATACATAGATCAGTCAGATGACAATGTGACAATGGCATACCATTAACATATACTTAATATACTCTTACTTAACATATTATTAAGTCATTGTACCCTACCCATGGTCATACCTCTAAAGATAGTCAGCTGTTGTTGTTTAATATACAAGAAATATATCAGTAAGGTGTATCAGGATTCAGGATATAATTGATATAAAATATCATGTTTCTGACTCAATTAATGTTCCTAAACCCCAATAGTCGATAAACAAAAATGTTCATCGGATTTGTGTGTGTGCTGTGGTCAGGTAGATGGTCCTATCGTTAAAAATTATTATAAGCGAAACTTGATTTTGGACGACGATTAAAATACATAAACCACGTCTTTATTATTATTTCATTTACCATACAACCCATACCTACATGAGACAAATATTGTACCACATTGAGAAGTATCAGTACTCCAAGGAGGCCTGAAAAGATTAGTATAACATTTATAATAAAATTAACTTACTTTTCAGGATAGTCATGATGGGACGAGCATTATTGATAGCAACATCACTATGCGTCATTGTGAGCAGCTATTTAAGCGCAGAAGCTTTCGATACGTTTGAACCAAGTGTCATTCAGATAGGACCTGAACCAGGGTCTGGCTCAAAGGTAAACAAATTAAAACATACGTTTTACTTTTATATAAGATACCTTAAAAGAAAAAAATATATAAAGTTAATGAAATATTTGTTATACCAGTCCGTTGTTATGGTCTAATAAATAATATACTATTATATATCGGTAAAACGAGGTGATCGAGAGGTAAATAGAAACAGAAAAAGGGTAAATGGGTATACTAGTTCTTTTATATCACGAGCGCAGGTGAGCCATAGTTGTAGTTGTAGTGCGTATATGCACGCGCGCTTGTGTGCGTAACTCGCACCAAGCTCATTTATTGGCATGCCGGCTGAACTGGGCGTTCCCGAGCGTACGCAAACAAAGACAATCGGCGTGTACATTTACCCACACTAATATGGCGCACCCGCGTTCCTGTAATTAAACATCTATATAGGGAAATTCTTCATAGTATCTAATCTATCCTTCTGTTCTATCTCTATCCCTCTTCACTTCGTTTTACGGTATCTAAGAAAAATAATATATATTCTCTAGGCACGTGGCCTAACAAAACTAAGTGTGCACTACATAAGAGGTCAATGTGTCAATGTCAAACTACTTGACCTGCCGAAGAAGTTATAATTAATCTTATCCCAGTGAGATGATCTCACATTAATGAAAAGAAAATTAAAAGTCCTTTTATTTTTGAGTAAAACTATCGAATACAATAATCATAATACAAATAGAAAATTATTGAAAATGAAGGTACCATCTTCAGAAGTTATTTATGTCAAACAAAGTAAGGACTGTACAGCCAACTGGCAAACAAAGGTGAAAGAAGGCCTTCTGATAGCCCAACAAAGTATAATAGACAATAACGTAACTTATTTGGATATTCTTATACGATTAATAGAAATATTATAGATGTTCCAAACATTTTTGTTCTTTGACTATTTTTATTGAACTTCATAATCTGTGCATTTTCGTTACAAAAATTCATTTTACAAACAAATACTATGACCACAATATATATATATAGATTTTATTGTAATGCAACGCCTAATTAACATTGAGCAGTATACCTATCAGTATCACTATTATGTATAAAACATGTATGTGCGTTTGAATGTGTAACCGACAAATGCTAAGTTCGAAATAATATAACCCCTTATAAGAGTGTAACATAGTCATTTGACGTATAGTTTGTGTATGGTAAACTGAAAAACGATTACACGAATTTTCATACATTTTTACCAGAGAAAATCACGAAGACCATGAGAAAATCATTCATTTACAGAAACGGTGATAATTGACAATCCAAAACCGAATAGTACCTTATTAATAACAATATTTAATTGCAATGAAATTGGATCTACTAGCAATGAATATAACAGCGTTATAACTAATGATAATGGACATTAAACATGTGGTGTTCGCTATATTAAATATCTGAAAGTGCTATCGGAGAAATTAATTAGGTAATAAGCTACACAACAGTCTACATGAATAATGAACTGAATTAAATTACAGTACGGTTCACCAAACCTTCTGGTAGGTGCTTTGCATGAGTTCTTTAGATTAAGCCAAAATTCTGATATTGCATGTACTTGAAATATACATAGGAACTGTCCTTTTCATTCATTGCCACACTAAACAAAGTCTATTAATTTATTAATTCTGCTAATTCTACTAAGGGTCAGTTTTGAAGTCGTGTGTAGGTATGGTTTCACATGTTATTCAATCTTTACTCCATATAACAGTAATTTCTACGTAACTAGTTTGTGATAAAAAACATGTATGTATGTAAGTGAAACTCATCGTTAAGTATGATGGTGATGTAGACCAACATATGTGTAGATTTTATCAAAATGACCGTAAGTGTTTTTCTTCATAGCGACAAAAGTATGAGATTAGATAGATCTAAAAACATTTTATAATGTATCAACATATGTTAAGTCACTAACCAGTACTTTAACAAATCTACCAAGGTTAGAGTAGTTTCCTAAGAAAAATATGGTCAGTACAGTATGTCTGTAACGTAAATATACGTGAAATCCATTGTAATCATCATCCCATTAAGAATGAACAATGATGTTCCATAATACAACTTACACAGCCAGTAACTACGATAATTATATGTTAGATACTACTTGAATAAAATTATTTTTATTGACGTGTTATATTTAGAACAAAAGAATATAATCACAAGTAACACACTACACAAGTAATTAATATGATGCTTCACTAATTAGAGGCCAGACCTCTGATTAGCCAACCATCCAACCAACCAACCAACACACCTGAGGCCTTAGTACGAGTTTGTTTTACGTTTAAAGTAATCGTAACGAGTACGCGTTCGGCGCTGTGATTGGCCGGCTAAAATGAACCAACCAATCAGATTGCCGTACGCGTACTCGTTTCGAATACTTTAAACGTAAATCAAACTTGTACTAAGGCCTCTGAACAAACCTTCAGAACAATTAGAACAACAATGTACGCGTCAAAAAATTAAACGCCCCAACGTTTAATTATAATTTATCGGACAGATGACGTTAATAAAGAAGTTTTAATAGAAAAGTTACAAAATAAAATAATGAGTATTCCTGTAAACAGATTTCACTGAATACTGCCTAGTAACCGCATCTATTCATGGAATGCATATTCGCATTGACAAATATGAAATCCCGATTTTTTAAGCGAATGTTGCGAACGATTGTTTATAAATAATTAAAATTACAGAAAAGTGAATTCAATAGAAGTACTTAGTTATTGATTTCTTTAATGTTTGTAAACGTTATGTTCTGATTAAAATGTCTTAAGTAGAGAATATTCAACTTGTCATTATGGGAAAAATATTAATGTTTGTTATTTGACTACCATTTTGATGTCTAATTTCTGCATCATCCTTAGATTGACTGTTAGAGAATGCCACTAGGCATTAAGTCCGCCATTGTATACAAGAAGTGTAAATAAATAAAAAATAAAAAAAAATAATTTGACCCGACTAGCAACCATTAACAAGCGTGTGCTGCAACTCGCGCTAAAGTATGCTGTCATGATAAAGATAAAGATAAAGATAAAGATATATTTATTTAGTAAAACATGAGTAATTACAATGAAGGTGTTTTTTTGGTTAGTATAGAGTCTACATGTTTTGCCATTGATGGCGTACTAAATCATTACTTTAGGCAGATAATACCAATCTACAATCAATAATTATACAAAATCAAATGTCAAAGTTTGAATGAAAAAAAAAATTTATAATGTAAATGAATAAAAATAATAATTTAAAAATCACAAGTCAAACAGTTTAAATTATGTCAATTGGTGAACAAAATATGTCAAAATTATAAACAAGATGTCATTATTATAAATATTATAGATAACAAGATAATAAACAATATGTCCACATTCAGGCTAAATTAAATTATACTTACAAAAAAAGTAGATAATAATTATAAAGAAAAACAAATAAATTGAAACTCACAATCAATGCAAAGTATCATTTATAAATTCATCTACGCTGTAGTAACATTTTTCAAGTAATAGCATCTGAAGAGATTGTTTAAATTTATGTATCGGCAAACATTTAATGGCATCTGGTATTTTATTGAAAATAATTGGTGCAATACCAAGGACACTCTTTTTTAGTAGGGCAGTTTTACATTTATATGTACATAATAAATTTTCGTATTGTGCACGAATAGGGGTCCTCTTAACAGTTGAGAATTTTTGAAACAAATGTTGATTTGTTTTAACAAATATCGCCACCTCTAATATGTACATACATGGCAAAGAAAGTATTTTAAACTTTTTAAAGTATGGAATGCAGCTATCCGTCTGTCTCAGACCGCACATAGACCGAATGCACCTCTTTTGCCTTCTGAATATAAGTTCCCTATCAATCGAATGCCCCCAAAAAATAATACCGTATCTTATAATAGAGGCGACCAATCCATGATAGGCCGTAAGAAGTGTATTAGTATCAACTTTCTTGGCTAATTGGAATAAAAGATATGCAGACTTACTGAGACGCGTGCATATTTCATTTAAGTGAGGTCTCCAAGTTAATTTATTATCTATGGTAATGCCTAAGAATTTCGCACTTGTAACTTCCTCCACTATACAGTTATTATAAGTTACATTAAACGGTAAGTGTTTACGACGTTGGTGGAAATGTACAACTTTTGTTTTATTTAAATTAATTATAAGATTATTAATGTCAAGCCAATTTATAATGTCATTCAATGAATTATTTATGTCATTTTGATAATTATTATAATTATTACATTCCACAATAACAGTGCTGTCATCTGCAAACAACACCATTTTGTGATCTATAGTTTTGGGGAGATCATTAATATAAATTAAGAAAAGTAGTGGCCCCAGGACGCTGCCTTGTGGTACACCATATCTTGTAAACCTTGGTTTAGATAAATATTTTTTCTCTAATTTAGTAGCAGGGCATATTCTGGTGATTTCTGTACATTGAGATCGGTTACTCAGATACGATTCTATGAGTTTCAGAATATTACCTCTCACTCCATACCCCTGTAATTTTTGCAGCAGAATTTTATGATTAACAAATCAAACGCTTTTGTCATATCAGTCAATATAGCACAAACAGGATTTCGTTTATCTATGGATGCCATTACGTTAGAGATGAAGTCGAACAAGGCCATATTAATATTTGTATTTTTTCTAAATCCTTTCTGTTCATTGCAGAAAAGATTGAATTTTTCAAAATATGAATATATAGAATTATAAACTACCTTCTCAATAATTTTAGAAAATACAGATATCTTTGCAATAGGCCTATAGTTTTGAAGGCAAGTTTTGTAATTTTTTTTATAAAGGGGTTTAATAATAACTTTTTTCAGACCTGTTGGAAATAAACCGTCTGAAATGCAAAGATTTATTATATGAGCCAGCACAGGAGCAATAATATCTTTTATATGTTTTACTACCTTAGTTGATATATTATCGGCACCGACGGTATTTGTATTTTTTAGACTGCTAATTATTTTAATAATATCGTAATTACAGACCGGTGACATAAATAACGACTGTGAATTCGAATTTTGAATAATGTAGTTACGGGTTGATGTTCCTTTAGTTTTTATATTATTTTCAATGATATCCACAAAATAGTCATTAAATTCATTTGCTATGATCGCCGGATCCGTAATAAGTACATTATCCTTCTCAATTGAAAGTATTGGCTCTTGGGGTAAGTTGAATTTTGACTTATTAATGACTTGCCAAGCCGCTTTTGATTTATTGTTCGATGTACATGTTTGGTTGGTTTTACATGTCAAACGCTGGTTTTACATGTCAAGTCTATGCAAAATAAAGCCTTAAGCCATGATTGGTCCAAATTTTTAAGTCAATATTCGCATTTACATTCGCGAAGATCATCAGCAGGTAGATATACGTGTTCGCATTTTGATAAATTTTTACCTTACCTCGCATATTTAAGGTTGTATAACTAAATATTACTAAGAATTTTAGTGAGTGTAAGCATTGTATTATGTAGGTACGTATCTGTTAGCAGATCTAACTATTTTATTTATTAATTTATTTCTGTAATCACAGGTAGCGCGGCGCAGTATTGCTATAATTAATAACGACTTCGTGCTGGACGGGAAGCCGACCCGAATAATATCAGGATCACTCCACTACTTCAGATTGCCCGCAGAGTACTGGCGGGACCGTCTGCGGAAACTGAAGGCTGCTGGACTCAACTCCGTAGCAACGTAAATAACTCCTAATTCAAAGAATATACGCAGACGTAATATTAGTTTTCTTAGAAAAATCTCCTAGAAATAATTATCATCCTAAAAATAATTATCATAATAATTATTCTAGTAATTTAGTATGTACTTATATGTCCACGCCATCCAAGGCCATACAATTTATGCGGCTAAGCGACAAAATAACTTTGATAATAGTCGTTTAATACTTCCAAGACGAAATGGTTAATGGACTCAAAATGTATGGTCACTGACCTACTTGTGAAATAATAGAGGTTATTAGTAATTTATTCAAGGATAATCCACATAACTACTCGTAACATTTTTCTGATATTTCCGTTGTTAATTTTTATCAGATACGTGGAGTGGAGTTACCATGAACCCGAAGAAGGGCAGTATTTATTTGAAGGTGATAGAGATGTCGCCAAATTCATTCGTATGGCTGCCGAAGAAGGCCTATATGTTCTTCTACGAGTTGGTCCATACATTTGTGCTGAACGAGACCTCGTAAGTGAATAAACTCTTTTTCAATTAACAATTCTCTAGCTTCTGGTTTTACCTGATCTACTGAGAATAAAAGTACCTACCTTATGTGTTATTAAGTTGGTTTTCCTCTTCAGAAATTTTAATAGTTATAACTAATATTAGTAAAATGCATAAAGATTTTAATGCGATATAACGTTTATTTTACATATATAACATCATTTAGCGCATGTTATTTTCCTTACCCATTTATTTTTATTTTGGTTCTTGGTACTTTCCTGTTAAAACTAAAATGCAAAGTTTTCCTTGATTCATATTAGTTTATATTGTATGTGTACTTACCTACCTCATATACCTGACATACGTAATGTACTATGAATATTGTGTTATCTGTAATTTATCCGAATCTATTCTAGGGTCTATTGTATGTGCTTTGATAAATTTTACCTCCAATTCCATTCGAACTAATAAGATTATTTTAATAGTATACCTTGTTTGTACAAAGTGTGATTTTTGAAATTCTCAATAATTATAAGTTATAACCGCTTACCATCAGGTGGGTGGGAGTGCTTTTTTGCCATCGTCGTGGTTTAAAAAAAAATTACAAGTAATACAACCACCTCCCCCTCTAGTATAAGTTTAGTTTAGTAGAACAAATACCCACAGTGGTTTCCTCTGCTTCTCCTTTAGATTAATAGAAGGTGTGAAGTTATATAATATTTATATCATTTTATTATATTTATTTCCAGGGTGGTTTTCCATATTGGTTGCTCGGCAAATACCCAAACATCAGCCTAAGATCCACGGATAAAGGTAAATCAACATATATTTACCTATCTACGTATGCATATTTTAGTGGCAAGTAGGTAACTTAACGCCTTGATGAGTCATAAGTCTTTATTTGTTGTTTCTCAAGTATATGTACTTTACTATTATACAAGGCTGAAGAGTTTGTTTGTTTGTTTAAACGCGATAGTCTCAGAAACTACTAGACTAAATAAAAGTACAGGTGCAACTTTTAAAGATTTTAATCGATTCGATTACCGTGTGCGGCAATCGAATTTTTAAAAATCTTGGAATGCTGTTTTCTTTGTTTTCAAAAATAAAAGGAATGTTTTCTTTGAGTAAAATTTTGTTGTAAATGGACGAGCATTTTATATTCACAGATTAGATTACCAACATTAAAAGTGTGAAAGTTTTTAATTCATTTCGCGTAACCCCTACTTTCCAATTCATTTTAATATTTTATTTGCAATATTAATAATAGAGCTCTTAATTTATTCATTTCAGATTACATAGCAGAATCCGGTAAATGGTTGGACAAATTCTTCGAACAAACATCTTCCTTACTATATGGGAACGGGGGACCAATAATCTTAGTCCAGGTAAATCGGTACCTAAATACTATAATTTTCAAACTTTATTTAACTTATTGATGTTGAAAAAAACCTTCAAATGTTTACATATTTATTCTACTAAGTACTCAACAATGACCGCACGTTGACTTTACCATGAAAGATTTTAAGCCAACGTAGCGTATATGATGTCATTTAATCAAAACTCTAATTCGCCAACGAATACGCATGTCTGTGTTCTATAGTATTTGGAAAGTAAAACCTGTACTTGCAATAAACTACGTACAAATAAACGAGTTCGATGTCTCAGGATGTTTAGCGATAAATGGAGGCTATAAAAATTAGAGGGTGGTAAAATACCAGCTTCTAAAGTAATAGTTTCATGCTACGATTCTAGAGGTATACACCGCATAAAGGAGTTACAATTTATTATTAACCAATACAAAACAAAATAGGTTCATAGTTTCAGCGTGATACTAACAGTTCACTGACCAAAGGTCAAATGTGTTGACCTCTTAAACAAACGTCCAAGCTGAGAACACTTTGAACTAAAATTGACCTCCTTTGTAATTCACGTCAAGTTATCTACATTTTAATCAGTCTACCGGCATGTAAATGGAAATTACGTACTAGATCCCATAATAGTTAAATACCTAAGTAGTTACTTATTAATTTATACATGCTCTTATAATTGACTACCTCGTTGGTCGGGTGGTCGCAATTGTGACTGCCGGGCAAGGGGGTCTCGGGTTCAATTCCGGGTCGGGCTAAGTGCTATTGGGTTTTTTAAAAATGTGTCCGGTATATGGCAAAAGGCTCACCTATTACATGGGACTCATAACATAAAGAGTGAAAAGTGGGTGTTAAATTATACAGTGACATAAAGTGCCGTAAAGTGCACCTCTGTCTACCCCTTCGGAGATAAAAGGCGTGATGTTATATGAGTGGTCTTATAACCAAAGCATTATATTTATTTAATTAATCTCTTAATTGTCAAATCTGATTATAAGTGCTGTGAATGGGCCTTAAAATCTTTGTTTGCTATCCAGGTAGAAAATGAGTACGGTAGCTATGGCAACAACATGAACTATCGAGTCCAAGTCCGCAACATGCTGCAGAACCACGTCGGTACCAACGCTCTCCTCTACACTACTGACGGGAATGCAATTTCTTTCTTCAGAAATGGTGCCGTTCCTAACACTCTCACCACCATCGATTTTGGTCCCCACTCAAGTCAGTATAATTTTTAATAATGTATTTACATAATTATGTAGACTTTTTTACCCAAAACTTAAATTATAATATAATACCCACCTGGAGTCCATGTCTGCAATTTGACCAAAATTTTAACATGATCTAATTCTCATTGCATTGCAATAAAAAATATATTTTAGCTCATTTAACAATATCTGGATAGCCGCTATGTACCAGATAAATTTTAAAAAGGAAAAAATCTTGTAAGACCTGTAATCTGTGGCATAGGTGTAGTGTGTACGTAGTAAGAAGGTGGTGCAACAGATGGATATGGATACCAACTAATAAATCTCATTTCTGTCAATGGAGTGGCACTGGAAGATCATAGCGACGTCGTTATTCAGGAAATAACCAAAGTCAGAGTAATGATAGACCAGTTTGACACTATTGTAATAACAGCCCCTTGTGTGTTGCACCAAAACTATTTACTACTTTTCTGACGCACATTAATTTTTATTATATTTTTTTTTCAAATCAAAAATGTTGCCCCACACTAGGATTTTCTCCTGTGTCGTGGGTGCGTTTACAAACATACAAGTTCACATACACATGACACCCAGACCCGGAACAACAATCTGTGGATCACACAAAGAGTTGTTCCGTGCGGGAATCGAACCCATCATATCATCATATCAGTTTTTCGTGTTTAGTATAAATATAAGTAGCGTAACAATTGCTATTACTTTTCACAGTGTATTTTAATTACTTCTTTATAATGAAAAAAAGTGAGTATTTACGTAATATTTTTTAATTTAAAGACTTAATATTAGTGTTTTTAGCCTGCATAGACATATTTTGTATCGTGATTTGTATAGGGTGACCGAATCTGAATTATAACGATTAAATTTTTTTTATGTAAAGGTAAAGCGAAATACTCTTCACAAGATCTTGTTCAATGTCTAAAGACGATAAGGGACATCCACAAAATAATTCCAGATAAAGAATTATGTTCATCTAAATACTAAACATATTTACTTTAAGCGTAATAACTGTCGTGAGACATACTGAATAAAAATAACAGCTTTCTTACGTAAACTTACTCCAGCTCATACCCACGCTGATCATGAGTAAGAGTTCCGTTGTGACTTGAAACTAGTAGAACTTGTCTCAAAAAGTTCACGTGAGTAAGCTTTTATTTTTAATTCATGTTCCAAAAGCATTTTTGACTATAACGATGATGTTGGTGTTTGATAGATGTACAACAATCATTCGAGGAATTGCGAAAGTTTATGCCTTCTGGACCTTTGATGAACTCTGAGTACTACACGGGTTGGCTAACTCATTGGGGCGAGCGTCTCGCCGTCGTCAAGCCCGAGGACGTGGCTAAAACGCTCGGCGACATCATCAGTTACGGCGCAAACGTCAACTTTTACATGTTCTTCGGAGGCACCAACTTCGAATACACAGCTGGCAAGTTCTGTTTTTGTTAATCACTTTTAAGTACATATTATGTACTTCTACCATTTATTTATGTGTTTGATATGCAGTATGACACACAGAAATCAGACATGTGAGATATGAGACAAACTCAGTATTCAAGGTGTAGATATTTACGGGGTTCATTATATCTTGCAGGGGCCAACTACTTCGGTACTTTTCAACCAGACATCACATCGTATGACTATGATGCACCGATATCAGAGGCGGGAGATCTCACTCCTAAATACCATCTTATTAGACAGAAATTAAAGGAGGTATGTAACTATTCTATTGTTATTATAATTGTCTAATCTATTTTTAAAGAAATATTTTTGTTTTTTTATATAAAAACTTTCGTGCGACATAAAAATTACTTTTGTTTATTCTTGCAGAACAACTTTGTTAATGAAAGCATTGAAGTACCACAAAATAGTCCTAAAGGTGATTACGGGCCCGTAAACTTAACTGCAACGGTGAATTTACTAAGTCCCGAAGGTCGATCTCAACTAGGCAAAAAGTACCCCGATGTAACGGGTCCAAATCTGCCAACCTTCGAGCATCTTCGTCAACGAGCAGGACTTATGCTATATGAAACCACATTAACCGAAGCTGATGACTTGTTACACATAAAGACACCTAGAGATATGATTTTCGTGTTTGTTGATGGCGTAAGTACGAATCATAAATATAATTTAACAAACTACGCCAACTAAGCGTTTTCTTGTGTTGCGTTAAATTCACTGAAAAAAAACAGCGGTAAGTTGCTATTTCAAGTCAGAATTGTAACTAGTGCGATATATGTACACCACACAAGCGCTGCGGTTACAATAACAAAACATTTTGTACTGCGCCACTGGTACGCGATATCGACAGACAGCTACGGCTACGACACGTCAGTGTAGCAGCTACGCCACATCCACAACATGACTACGAGAAGTTTGGACAGCGCATTCTTACCAACTATCGTTTGTTTAAGAGTTATATAATTTCTGATCATTGCATGGTATAGAAGTTAACGTCAAAAATATAGTAAAAAACTGCATACTGAAAATTAGATAACTGAAATTAGCCTTTAGTAAATTACGTAAAAGAAGAAACTCTACCCAATCTAACTTTATTGGGTTTATTGCAGGAATTCAGAGGTCGCATCAGCAGGATTCACAAGATCTACAGCATTCCGTTGTCAGCAAAGAATGGTTCAGTGTTGTCGTTATTAGTAGAACCCCTGGGACGAATAAACTTTGGCAGATTTATACACGATTTTAAGGTAATATCAAATGAATAATATACATCTCCATTATCATTAGATCAACAGCTCATAACAATCCACTGCTGAAGCACCACATGACGATACCACTCAGCATAACTAGTAACGCCTGCCGTTAAATAAAAGCAACCATTATCATATCTTTATTTTCACACGCATAATAACGCACTGTCGTGCTGTATGTATGAGCTGTCTACAGTCTCATGCACGAATAAACCCATCAGGTAGGCCATAACACATCTTCCAACTTCCTATTTTTTAATAGAGGGTTGCCATTTTCTCCACACTTGGCAGGTAGCGTGGGCATCGCATTTAGATCACCAATCGTTTAGTTAGTATAGAAGATACTGCAGGCTGCCCGGTTGTATGTTGTTTGTGTAAGTCAAATATTGGCTATGTGCACGATGGTGGCGACGCGTAGCGTTTACAACATTTGCGAAAGCTGTCAAATAAATAATAACAATGTAAACATTATAATTTTGTTTGCAAATATAAATAAAACCAAAAATTAAAATATTATTGTTGACATTACTTAAGTGCAATTTATTCATTAGTTTGAAACTATTACACATAATATATTAATTTCCAACCACAAACTGAGACAAAAGGCAATAAATTAGTATTAGCCGAGCATGTAAGAAAGAAGTAGAAATGTGAAATAACTGCGACATAACGGCCAGAGCTACTTAATACGAGCCATAGTCTATTTCTTTGCTTTGATTTTGTACTACAATCAACACATTTGACAGCTGATCATCCCCATTTGTTTCCAATTTCTGCCGTATTGTGCGCTGCGGTCGTTATCTGTCCGCCGCTACTCACTTTGAACATAGTACCTAATATGTTGTATTTTATTTACAGTTGCAGAATAAAACTTAGTACATTTATTATTTAGGGCCTGGGAAGTTAGTTTCGATGTGGAATTCTTTTTCTTACATAGCTTCTCCTAATAGTAGGTAACAAACCTAACAAAAAGAATTAGCGGTTTAGCAGCTCACGAGATTTGCGCTTAGCAATGAATTTTTATATTTAAATGAGTATAATTACTTACTTCTTTACTTAAATATATATAGCAGGAAATATTCATTTTGGTTACACGTTACTTTAAATGCAGTACTTTCTCTGTCACTATCAATTAGTGAAAAAGGTTACTTACTTCCATGATAAATGATATAGGTAATCAACATACCTTATTTAATAATAGATTTTATTGTTACCCACACAAATCAATTTACTAATAATACTTGTTAAAAAATGCGGTTTCAACGCATCCTGTTGACATCGAATACTAAAAGAAAAATAAAAATATGAACCGGATATTAAACCCATTTACTATCATTATTTCCTGAAGTAATGTTTATCAGAAACACACAATGTGGTCATATCAGGTCATAGCAACTTCATAAGTTACACATTGACCAAGAAAGATGGATGTGTAACGCATATATGCTAAAGATTGATATGGAAACCTAATTACAGTTCAGTACACTACAAAGCGTTATCTAGCCTTTATACCCGACTGCTAGTAGACCCTGTATCTTTCCTTTTCTTCTCTGTATAGTGAAGCAATGCAAGTTGCTTTTAAAAAATCCGTGTTCTAAAATGCGATTGTTAATGCAAAATACAAAAAGATGCGTGGCAGTTCGCACAGCATCTTGAGCGTATTGTGTAATAAATGGAACAGTCCAATGTTGGCCCACTGGATTAGACTGCACGCGATGTAGACTGACATTAAATTACTAACAATAGGTTAAGATCATTGTTATTGACATGGATTTTTGGTCTGGAATAAATGATTAATAATAAAAAATAGTAAATAGTAACGTATCAAAATAAAATGGAATAATAAATATATGTATATAGTAGGTACGTTATACGAATGTTTAAACTTAAAAGTACCTATTACAAATTAGTGTTATAATTTTTCTTAATAAAAGAATAAATGAACCTAGTTTGTTTTGGACCTCGTGCTATCTGTAATATGATTATAATAATAACTATAAATATCCGTAGTAGAAACAATGAAATGGTTTTGCTTATATTTGATACGCAATTAATAAAATCATAACACTTTGCCTGACTTATAAATACAACATGATATTTTACAGTTGAGTGTGTCGCGACACTAATGATTGACCTTTACGGTGGTGGTTCATGGTTCATGTTGAAATTTTATTGCAGGGTATATTAAGCCAAGTGGAGTTCAAAAGCAAGGTTTTAGATGGAAAATGGACAGTGACAGGATTTCCTTTGGAGACATTCGATACGTCACCGGTTAACAATCCTAATTTGAAAACCCCTGCGTTTTATGAAGGCTACTTCACGTTGCCAGAAGGCAAGGAACCACTGGACACTTTTGTCGATACTACTGGATGGGGCAAGGTATTATAAATTGTATGACACTTCTTTCTTCAGTAATTACAAAATGTTTACTGCACTACGACGTACTACCATATATCCCCGAGCGGTCACCGGTGACCGCTCTCCACTAACTACATTATAGACCTTATTTCCAATGTTTAGATACTACTTTTGTATGAACAAATTGAGGAGATGATTTTCAACGGGTTAATTTTGAAATTAGAAAACCGAGCAAAGCTTCGCATGATCCGTAGTCCGACAAAACTTAAACAAAACTTATGTTACAGGGCTACATCTGGGTGAACGGTCACAACCTCGGCAGGTACTGGCCAACAGCAGGACCACAGATCACGCTGTACCTGCCAGGAGTTTGGCTCAAACCAGCACCAGAAAGGAACCACATTCGAATCTTGGAACTGAACAGACCTCCACCTGTCCTCGCCATGGACTTGATAGATTATCCAATCCTCAATAGAACTGGAAATATTAACTGGTGGAGGATACAACCGAAAGTACTGAAACCAAATAACGTAACATTTGTGTAGAATAATGTACAATTACCTATACCTAATAATAAAGTTCATACATGTACTTCTTGACAGTTGTTAACATTTATTTTCGTAATAAATTCGTTTATGTTTATTTACACCCAAATATTAAACTGAACAAAATAATAGTGCTGTGTTCTTTCATATTTTTGGTGAATAAAATCAGTTGTAAGTATCGTATTACATGTTTTTTCTTAGATGGCCATTATCTAGCAAATAATTGTTGTGTATATTGTACCTATATTGTCTGTCACTCAGAAGTTAATTATTTAACGTCGTTCTGACATTTACACTTAACATGGATTGCAATTCAAAATTGATAAAATACTTACTGTACCCAGATTCTTGAGAATTGATCACAGTGTATAGCCATATTATAGTGTTAGAAGCTTTATTTATTAAAGCAAATTAACTGAAATGAAACTAAATCCATTTCATGAAAATATTTTTTAAATCTGTCTGTACGATGCACTTCATTTAATGTCTCTGCAATAATGTATTTCGATTGATTAAATGAAGTGAAGTAGGTACCTACCATTTTAATTTTAAGTTAATCGTAGTTATGAATTAAATCCTAACATCTTAAAAGTCTATTAAGGTGTCCACTACCTTACCTTGTTTTTTCAATACTCTTTTTAACTCTATTTCATTTTACTTGCTTTTAAATCTAAAAACATTTTAAAATTTCTAAAAAAATATTAAATACCTGCGCATCACTGTCATCATTATAATAGATCGTGCTGCATTGGCTAAAGGCTCTGACAAAAAACTAGAAAAGGATCCCAAATCAAACTTTTGAGGCTAAAATGTTGCCATTGACCAGTGAGTCCCTCGCCACCACTCCACTAGCATAATTATGATAAACATTATCTAACTTGCCACATATTTCGCAGTTAAGTGGATTTACATTTTTCATAAGAATTCTTCAATACTCAAATGCAACGACTGACTGAATGCAATTCGTGTACCTACTGCGCAGTTTGAGTGAATATTTCCGAATACAAACAGGTTTCAATTTGAAGCGCATTTTTATGTGCGACCATTCACAACATGAAACGATAATCTCGACCCAAATGCTAATGTAATAAGACTGATAATAGAAGAGTAACTTTACATATGGAACGTATTATTAATGACAGAAATGTCTACTTTGTAAAGTTCTATTAAATATGACGTTTATAGTCTCTCAGTTACTTCTTCTTAGCAATTAAAATACAAACGAATCACAGTTGCGATTATACGTAGACTGCCATCAATGCCATTCCAACAGCGGTCTTCGAATCCAGTTTAAATTATTATATGGAAGCATATAGAACACAAACAGAACAATTCACACTATAAACCCATAACAAGTGGTATGAAAGAGATGGGTATAGCGAAGTTACTGAAGCGTAAAAGAGTCAGTAGCAGGTAGAACTCATTGTGTGTGTGACGGAGTATGATAAGGAGTAGGTAATGGGTGAAGCGAGCCTGTCGTCGTGCAGATCGCGACAGCGCCGGACCGTTCTTCACCGGCAACATAATAAAACACGTGGCCGGCACATCGAACCTACAAAACGTGAGTATAACTACAGTTTATTGACCGATACCCTGGTACGATACCTAAAAAACTTTGAACTTGTATATTTGTTGCGATAATGTAATAAAACTAATTGATTCTGTACTTCATTTTTCGTAACAAAGGTATATACATGTTACTTCGTAATAAACTTTAGTAAGTCAAAAGATTCAATTAGTATAAAATTATACATGTATCTTTCCTGAAAAGAATTTAATTTAAAAGTTAAAGAGAGTCATTCATTTTTTTGGATCAAAGTTATTTAATTTAATTACATTCTTAATAAGTATCTACTAAATACTAGGTATGCGTACTGATAACGAAAATTTATTGAATTAGTTCAATAAGAGAATTTTATAAATACCTTGAATTAGTGTTATTTCAACTAAGTTAGTTACTTTCGTTCAATTGATGTTCTTTCTTCATTAGTTAGACTAATTTTGTGTTCTTTATCTATTATTTTTATTTTTTCTTCGTTAAGTTTGATGTCTAGGTTCAAGTTTTTAATAATTATAATAAAGATTCTATAAATCTAGAAAAAAATGTCTTATTGTGAATGAAAAACTGGTTGAAAGTTCGTATAGCAACTAATGCCGGTGACTTATACACAACTCTTATATATCACCGTTAGAATAGTCAAACATCCTTCATTGATTTGAGATAACACAGTATCTGTCTGTAGTGTAATTCTAAACACGAATTCATCGAGATATTGGCATGAGTTCTATGAAGAAGGATAAGGATGGTCATGTTTCATTCGTTCAACTAAATATACGTAACTAGTAATATGTTTATATGTATCATTGTAAGTACTCGATAAAATCAAATGTATTTGGTATCACATTCGCCTTCGTCTAAATATTGTAAAAGGAGATTTACAAGGATGTCAGCTACCTAATTACGACACGCCGTGAAGACTATCGCTGCTATGTGTTGTGAAAAATACTGCAGACGTTGTTCCAGTTAATAGTTTCCAATTGAAAAGGTTAAATATAGTTTACTCATTGATTCGTTTTTGTAAGTCAATAAACATACAAGTTTTGTGCTATTCAGATGGTGTCTGGTGATTTAACTTGTGAGGTAGGCCCGCCATGCAGCCTTGTGTTGGCTGATGGGTCCGTCTTCCAAGGACGGAGCTTTGGAGCACAGGTGCCAGTAGATGGCGAAGTTGGTAAGTACAACGATATTGACATTCATAATTTAACAAAACGTCTTGTTATATCCTTGTGGAATTCCGACAGGTACAAAAAAAACCAGTCCAGGTAGGGGTTCAAGTTTTTGTTACACATTGTCCCCATGCGAGCTTGCGACTATAACAATGTAACAGCAAAAAGTGACAAAATATCAGCTGTGTCCCCAATATTCAACAAAACTTACAGCTGACTTTTATTGTATTGAGTGATGAATATTGGTTTTCATAACAACTAAATATTAAAGTGTATGGTTTTATTGTTGGATTAATTATTTTACTATCTAACATTTTCTATATTCTTGCATTAAATACACTCTCTAATTAAATGACTAAAAGATAAACACAATATAAAAATGTTTAATAACAGTGTTTCAGACGGGTATGGTCGGATACCCAGAGTCGCTGACTGACCCATCTTATCACGCACAACTGTTGGTACTCACGTACCCATTGGTTGGCAACTATGGCGTTCCTGACGAAGATGAACAAGACGAACATGGGATACCTAAGTAAGATTCCTTTTTTAATTAACTTCACTTGTGTAAGATATTTTGCCCTTAACTTTTGAACTTAACGTTTTTTCAGTTGTAATAGAATAAAAATTATATTTGCTGTAAGTTTAATAAGCTTATACTGGTAATATAATTCCTCTGGGCATAAGATATTAAACTGTCAAACACCAAGCGGTCACCGGTGACCGCAACCTATTGTTCTTTAATTGTGTCTATAGGTAAATACGGTACTCGACGAGTTAAATTAGGTAAAATACAAATTTAATTACTTTAATCGTGCACTGATTAACTTTTCAGGTGGTTTGAATCCAACCGTATTTGGGCAGCTGGGTTGATTGTCGGTGAGATAAGCACAAATGCGTGCCACTGGCGTGCTAAACGTTCCTTGGGCGCCTGGTTGGCGGCGCGAGGAATCCCAGGCGTCTGCGACGTAGACACCAGAGCGCTAACATTCCGACTCAGAGCTGGCGTTACTTTAGGGCGTATCATTCAAGGTGTTCCACCGTTTGGCCCATTACCAGCTTTATCAGATCCAAATAACAGAAATTTGGTTGCCGAAGTTTCTGTAAAGGTAAGATAAATGAAAAAAAAATGTTTATTCAAAATAACAAACATAGTTTAGATAAAAATATTACTTCTGCCAAACTGTAAAACAGTTTGTTGGCAGAACTAGCTCCCTTAAATAATACAACTAAATAAAAATTTATAAAACTTTTGACATCGTAATTCACACATAATAATTACCAGGTAAGTAGTTTAAGTAGGAAATAAACTTAATATATATATCTCCATATAGGAGGCCTTAACAAACTTTGTTGAGAAGAAACTTCACCATTTTGCTTTTGAAGAAAAGTTTTGTAGTATAGCTGCTTCCCAAATCGACTGGCATGTCATTAAATATCGTTAGGACTAAGCATTTTCTACATCTTTGCCCATAGTAGTTAACAGTAGTAGGTACTATGACTCTTCTAATTATTTTCTTATTAAAACTTTCTTATTAAACCCTTATTCATTAATTTACAGGAACCCAAAATATATAATCCGAATGGACAAGTAACAATAATGGCGGTTGATTGTGGGTTAAAATACAATCAAATTAGATGTTTGATCAAAAGAAACGCAAAGGTCGTACTAGTACCTTGGGACCACAAGCTGGACAGTAGCCAGTACGATGGTTTGTTCATCAGCAATGGTCCAGGCGATCCTGTCAAATGTAAGAAGTTGGTGGACAATATGCGAACTATAATTGGAGATAAAAACAGTGTTAAGCCTTTGTTTGGTATCTGTCTCGGACACCAGTTACTGTCCACTGCAGCAGGCTGCAAGACTTATAAAACCAGGTATCTACCTTTAATATTTTTTTGGATTACTATATTTTATTTTAAGGGAATTATAAGATAGTAACTGGCGAAGTACTTCCGATTTATAGAAAATTGACGGCACGCAACGAAACAATCATGTTTCTAGGAGCATAGATATAGCATAGCATAGTATAAGGATTAAGGTGGGCGTATATGATTGTCTTGATTCCTGAATATCTATATCTACTTGGTTTTTATAGGTATTGCACTAAACTAAAACTCAACATAGGTATTTCAATAGTATCTATAGTTTTTTTAAAACATACTATTTTGTTTCAGTTATGGTAATCGAGGACACAATTTGCCCTGCACTCATAATGGTACTGGTCGATGTTTCATGACATCACAGAATCATGGATTCGCCGTCGATGCAGATTCTCTACCTGAAGGTTGGAAAATATTATTCACGAACGAAAATGACAAAACCAATGAAGGTGTTATTCATGAAACTTTGCCCTACTTCAGCGTACAATTCCATCCAGAACACACAGCTGGACCCACCGACTTAGAGTGTCTTTTTGATGTATTTATTGATGCAGTAAAATGTTACAAAAATAAGCAGACCTATAGCGTAGATAATGCTATTACAGAAAAAATAAAATTTGTGCCGACTATTCACGAAAGGCCGAAAAAAGTGCTTATCCTTGGGTCCGGTGGATTATCGATCGGTCAAGCAGGAGAATTTGACTATTCAGGATCGCAGGCAGTTAAAGCCTTACAAGAAGAAAAGATACAAACGGTATTGATTAATCCTAACATTGCCACTGTGCAAACATCGAAGGGATTAGCCGACAAGGTATATTTTCTCCCCATTACACCGGAATACGTCGAACAAGTTATCAAAGCTGAACGACCTACCGGCGTACTCCTCACATTTGGCGGTCAGACGGCTTTAAACTGTGGTGTAGAATTAGAGAAATCAAAAATTCTAGAAAAATACAATGTTAGCGTCCTCGGAACTCCCATCCAATCAATAGTAGACACAGAAGATCGTAAGATATTTGCTGAAAAAATCCATGCTATTGGAGAAAAAGTTGCACCAAGTGCAGCTGTAACAACAATCGAAGAAGCCCTAATAGCTGCTAAACAAATTGGTTATCCAGTCATGGCTCGATCTGCATTCTCATTGGGTGGTTTAGGATCTGGCTTTGCTAACAATGAAGACGAACTCCGCACACTTGCACATCACGGTCTGTCCCATTCTGATCAACTCATAATTGACAAATCTCTTAAAGGCTGGAAAGAAGTGGAATATGAAGTGGTTAGAGATGCATTCAATAATTGTATCACAGTGTGCAATATGGAAAATGTTGATCCTTTAGGAATACACACAGGAGAATCAATAGTAGTTGCACCCAGTCAAACCTTATCTAACAGAGAGTATTACATGTTGAGAAACACTGCTATCAAAGTTATTCAGCACTTTGGAATAGTAGGAGAATGTAACATTCAGTATGCATTAAACCCGAATTCAGAAGAATTCTATATTATTGAAGTAAATGCACGATTATCTCGAAGTTCAGCGCTAGCGAGTAAAGCAACTGGTTACCCATTAGCTTACGTAGCTGCAAAATTGGCTTTAGGTATCCCATTACCTGTTATTAAAAATTCCGTGACCGGAGTCACTACTGCTTGCTTCGAACCAAGTCTCGATTATTGTGTTGTTAAAATTCCTAGATGGGATTTGGCTAAATTTAATAGAGTAAGCACAAAAATAGGGAGTTCTATGAAAAGTGTTGGAGAAGTGATGTCAATAGGAAGGAGTTTTGAAGAAGCTTTTCAAAAAGCATTGAGAATGGTGGATGAGAATGTCAATGGCTTTGATCCAAATATTAAAAAAGTAAATGAAGACGAATTGCGAAACCCAACGGATAAAAGAATGTTTGTGCTTGCCGCTGCTTTGAGAAATGGTTATACGGTGGATAAATTATACGAATTAACAAAAATTGATCCTTGGTTTCTTCACAAGTTTAAAAATATAATAGATTATTATAAAATATTGGAGGCCGATCATCATGGTTCAATTCCTTTTGACGTCTTAAAAAAAGCAAAGAAAATCGGATTTTCCGATAAACAAATCGCTGCAGCAATAAAAAGCACTGAGGTTGCGGTTAGAAAGTTAAGAGAAGAATATAAAATCACACCATTTGTGAAACAAATCGATACAGTTGCAGCCGAGTGGCCAGCTTCAACAAATTATTTATATTTAACTTATAACGGCAATACCCACGACCTAGATTTTCCCGGTGGATTTACTATGGTGCTAGGATCAGGTGTATATCGTATAGGAAGTTCTGTTGAATTCGATTGGTGTGCTGTCGGCTGTCTTAGAGAACTTAGAAATCAAGGTAAAAAGACAATCATGATAAATTATAATCCCGAAACTGTAAGTACCGATTACGATATGAGTGATAGGTTGTATTTTGAAGAAATATCTTTTGAAGTTGTTATGGATATCTATAATATTGAACATCCAAACGGAGTCATATTATCAATGGGAGGACAGTTACCAAATAACATTGCAATGGATTTACACAGACAGCAAGCAATTATTCTTGGCACTTCGCCTGATATGATTGACAATGCCGAGAACAGATTTAAGTTTTCAAGAATGTTAGACCGTAAAGGTATAATGCAACCGAGGTGGAAGGAACTTACAGATTTAGAATCAGCGACTAGCTTTTGTGAAGAAGTTGGATACCCTTGTCTGGTACGCCCATCGTATGTTTTAAGTGGTGCAGCTATGAATGTTGCAAATTCAAATCAAGAGTTGGAAACTTACTTAAAATCGGCAAGTTTAGTTAGTAAAGATCATCCAGTGGTTATATCTAAATTCATTATGGATGCAAAAGAAATTGATGTCGATGTAGTCGCTGCAGATGGTGTTATTTTTTGTATGGCGGTCTCTGAACATGTTGAAAATGCCGGCGTTCACTCGGGAGATGCTACATTGGTTACCCCACCGCAAGATATCAATAACGAAACTTTAGATAAGATTAAAGAAATCGCCAGTATCATAGCTGAAACTTTGGATGTCAACGGGCCTTTCAACATGCAGTTAATTGCAAAAGATAATGAACTTAAAGTCATTGAATGCAATGTAAGAGTTTCGAGATCGTTTCCTTTTGTTTCTAAAACACTAGATCACGATTTTGTTGCAATGGCTACTAAGATTATCTTGGGTCTACCGGTGGAACCAGTTAATGTAATGGCTGGCTGTGGAAAAGTGGGGGTCAAAGTACCACAATTTTCGTTCTCTAGATTAGCGGGAGCAGACGTAACTTTGGGTGTGGAAATGGCATCTACGGGTGAAGTAGCATGTTTTGGAGAAAATCGTTACGAAGCTTATTTGAAGTCGCTAATGAGCACAGGCTTTAGAATTCCTAAAAAAGCGATTTTGCTTTCTGTGGGCACATTTAAGGTAAGGTCTAATCTGGTAATACATCTATAAACAAATACAAAATTTCCGTCCTTTAATATTATTGTCATTTAATTTCAGCACAAAATGGAGCTACTTCCCAGTGTAAGAATTTTACACAAAATGGGATACAAATTATACGCTAGTATGGGCACAGGGGACTTTTATACTGAGCACGGAGTCGATGTAAGTGGTTTTTAGATTGGCATACCATACCATTCCATTATTGTAAATAAATACAATGTTGTCGTTATTTGTAACGACAGTTTTAATCGAATTAATTTCTATTTTCTGAAAGGTTGAAAGCGTTCAATGGACGTTTGACCACATAGGTGACCCTGAGGACGTGAGGTCTGACGGAGAACTGATGCATTTGGCTGACTTTATGGCAAGACGAGAATTGGATCTAGTAATCAATCTACCCATGCGTGGAGGATCTCGTCGTGTGTCCTCATTCTCGACACATGGTTATCGTACTCGTCGACTAGCCGTTGACTACGCGGTACCCTTAGTTACTGATGTAAAATGCGCAAAATTATTAGTTCAGGTTGGTGAAGTAAATTAATTTCTTCATTAATTTATTCATTTCGTCGTTGATTGTTCGAATATTAATTTAATAAAAAGTAGATTAGTAAATATAAAATATTTCAAAAATATATTTACTTTATACGAGTATTTTATGTTTTACAGGCTATGCATTTATGTGGCGGTGTTCCTGTAATGAAAACTCATACAGACTGTATGACATCACGCAATATTATAAAATTACCTGGTTTCATAGATGTACACGTACATGTCCGAGAGCCTGGAGCCACGTATAAAGAAGATTTTGCCAGTTGCACGGCAGCCGCTCTTGCTGGAGGTATTACAATGATATGTGCAATGCCAAACACTAATCCTCCAGTAATTGACCGCTCTTCTTATGATTACGCGTCTGCATTGGCTCGCGTCAGTGCTCGGTGTGATTATGCGCTCTATATGGGGGCTTCGTCTACTAACTGTGAAACGGTTTCTGAAATGGCCCCTCAAGCGGCTGCTTTAAAAATGTATTTGAATCAAACATACACAACTCTTACATTAGATGATATGACCATTTGGCAAAAACATCTTCAAAATTGGCCTAAGAAAATGCCAGTTTGTTCTCATGCAGAGAAAGAAAAAACAGGAGCAGTAATTTTAATGGCCTCCTTACTTGACAGACCTATCCATATCTGCCACGTAGCAAGAAAAGAAGAAATTTTAATTATTAAATCTGCAAAAGAAAGGGGTCTGAAAGTAACATGTGAAGTGTGTCCACATCATTTGTTCTTAAGTACAGCAGATGTTAATGATATCGGTGAAGGCCGGGCTGAGGTGCGGCCAGTGTTATGTAGTCCAGAAGATCAAGCGGAACTTTGGAAAAATATAGACATCATTGACGTCTTTGCTACTGATCACGCCCCTCATAGTGTAGAAGAAAAAAATTCGGCTAAACCACCACCAGGTTTTCCTGGATTAGAAACAATTTTACCACTACTTCTGAATGCAGTTCATGAAGGCCGTTTGACTATGGAGGATCTAATCAATAAATTCCACCGTAATCCTCGAAAAATATTCAACTTACCTGAACAACCGAATACTTATGTCGAAGTGGATATGGATTATGAATGGACGATCCCAAAAGCTATGGAATTTTCTAAATCTAAATGGACACCATTTGCAGGAATGCAAGTTTGTGGGGCAGTTCATCGGGTAACTTTAAGAGGTGAGATTGCATACGTTGAAGGACAAGTTTTAGTGCCTCCTGGTTTTGGACAGAATGTAAGAGACTGGCCTTCACCAAAAAAACAAACTTTAGTTTCAATTGAAAAACCAGAGAAAGAGTTTAGTCGACCCAATTCTGCGCTTGATGTACACATTTCTGCAGAATTGAGTAGAGTAAGTGACATTGATTTTGATCAAATCGACAATAGACCCGAAGGACAGTCCAAGCCTAACGTCCACTTCAGTGAAATTGCAGCTGCTCGGTGTTTATCACCGTTACCTCCACAATCGACTAGACAAAGATGCGACAGTACATCTAACTATAATCCCCCTACAACGACGGCGTCTCAGCGACAACGTAGTGACCTTTTCGGCAAAAGCATACTGACCGTAGACTCTTTCAGTAAAGAAACTCTTAATGATGTATTCAATCTTGCGCAGTTTATGAAAACGAGTGTTAACAAAGGCCGTTTTCTAGATGACATATTACGAGGAAAAGTGATGTCCTCCATATTTTATGAAGTCAGTACACGCACTAGTTGTAGCTTTGCAGCAGCAATGCAAAGATTAGGTGGATCTGTAATTCACACCGATGCGACTAGCTCGTCCGCAAAGAAAGGGGAAACATTAGAAGATAGTGTTGCAGTAATGGCTAGTTACTCTGATGTGGTGGTACTTCGCCATCCTGAACCCGGCGCAGTTGCGGTAAGAATTTGCCCAGTTTTGTATTATAAAAAAGTAGCCAAGAAGACAACTAGATTATATTTTAAAAATAATTTGTTTTATTATTTTTACAGCGTGCTGCCCGTCATTGTCGTAAACCTATAATCAATGCAGGTGATGGCATTGGAGAACACCCTACACAGGCTTTGCTTGATGTATTTACAATTCGTGAAGAAATCGGAACGGTTAATGGATTAACTATCACTATGGTTGGAGATCTGAAGAATGGACGTACTGTTCATTCTCTAGCACGTCTTTTAACTTTGTATCAAGTGCAACTACAGTATGTTAGCCCTAAAGGACTAGGTATGCCAAAACATATCACAGATTATGTTGCCTCTAAAGGTATACCTCAAAGAGTTTACGAAAGGCTAGAAGACGTATTGGCTGACACTCATGTTTTGTATATGACTCGAATTCAACGCGAAAGGTTCCAGAGTCAAGAGGAATATGAAAAGGTTATTATAATTTTACATTTATGCAGACATAAAGGGTGACATTTAATTATTAGTAAAGGACAGCCAAGCATTTACTAACATTAAAAAACAACTATCTCAAGGAAAGTTATATTATTAGTTATCATAAGTGCTTCGCTGTCCTGTACTAAATAAATGTCACCCTGTATGATTGCCAAATTACAAGTAAGATTTTTTCGTTAGCACGCGTATTTAATTTTTATGCTTGATTTGCAGACGCGCGGGTTGTTGGTGGTAACTCCACAGTTGATGACTCGTGCTCGAAGACGCATGATAGTAATGCATCCACTGCCACGAGTCGACGAGATCTCGCCAGAATTCGACTCAGACCCTCGAGCCGCCTACTTCAGGCAAGCTGAGTACGGCATGTACGTTCGGATGGCTCTACTTTCCATGGTCGCCGGGGTCAATCCTCTAACGTAGTGTAATGGTGCTACATAATATAACGCATGATATCATAATTATATTGTTTCCTAATCAGCGGTAATTAATCTCTGAGTCAGTCTTGGAATTATAGATTCTTTGGAAAATGAGTTTCCGTTCTGCTGAAATTTATCTTAAATCAGAAGCTTTATGTTTACCGACATTTTATGTTAATGAACCGTATCGGCGATTACGCTTCTCTATCTAACTACTTATTGTTTGTCATGTGATACGAAGCGACCAGATTCAACTTTATGATTACATTTCGCTGAATACAATTAAATTGTACCAAGTTAATCTGGGTATATGACAAAATGTTAGTTTAATATTGTATATCTAAATATAAACCTACCAATATCAATATCTGTCGGATATAAATAAAAAGAAATTTAAGTGATAATCAGATACTTTATTTTTCTTATGTATACAATAGCTTACTTAAGCAAATAATAATACACATTGAATAACAAAAGTATTCAGTAAAACTGTTATATGTACATTATTTTCTATTATTATTAATTTATAACAACCAACAACGACACAAACAAATAACACGAGATTCCATTTATTAACAAAACAACATCACACCTTTTATTCCTCGAATGGGCAGACAGAGGTGTTTATATTATACGTATTCCATATAAATATAAATTAATTAAGAAAGTACAGCTAATTCCGAGAGTCACATAACAATTCAGAACATTTTCCATCAATCCTTCGAAATCTTATTTCAGTTGTATTATTTCTTCTTTTGACTTTTTTCAGTAAAGAAAAGAATCTGAGATAGTATTGATAGTTACAAAAAATACGTCATTATTTCTTTAAAATGTATGTTTATAACTTAGATTCCTCGCTATTGGTAAATACATTTAATTTCATGTGATCGTATGTTGCATTTTCAACGTGCACATCGACAAAAGTAAATGCTGGGATACCAGGACTATCAGCAGAAGAATCTGGGATGTCTTCAAACTTTGGTCGCTGCTTGCGGTGTCGTTGTGGTTTACGATTACGATTAATTTCAGGCCTCTGAGGTAAATAGCTTTGCTGTACCAGTTTTCTTTGACAGTCAACCAATTTTTCTCTAATGACTCTCAGATATTCCTTGGCTGTCGAATCACTTCCCGGTTCTTCCGATAGCAATATGCAGAGTCTTTGAGCGTGTTCCAAATATATTAGCGCTTGCCTTATTGCTTCGAATTTTTCACTGGACCGAGCCATTGCGATAAAGTGAGGAATGAAGAATTCGAGAACAAGACGTCGTCGTATCGGGTCCATTTTGCGTGGTATTGTATACTGAAAAACAAAGTATTCTATTACTATTTTATTATACGTCTACATAATTGTCTCTTTGATTGATTTGTATTTAGTACTGGGGATTTAGAGAAACCAACATTTTATGCATATGCCCCTTATCACATAGGACTAATAACGTGACTTATAAGAAATGATACAATGGGTGATGCATAGTATGTACACTTATGCCTACATATGTAGGTAATAATATATAAAGAATGATAAACTACAATTATAATTTGTCGGTTGCCTACCTGTTTCCATGCGTCTTTTTGTTCTTTTATTGGCACCTTGGATTTTTTCTTTTCTTCAGCCTTTTTATGCGCCGCTTTACGCCGTTTATAATCTCTGTCATTAGCTTTGGCTGCCTCCCAAAATCCAGTTTCAGTTTCGCTCTCTGAACTATCTTCGTACTTAGAGGGAGTAACAACTTTAGGTAGATTTGGATTAATCAGACGCAAAGGATCCTTGCAAGTTAGTATTTGAAAGAGCTTTCTACATTGAAATTTTGGATAGAATTCTCTCTTAGTGTATTTTATTTTATTAAGTGCGTGTAGCATATGCAGCACAGGAGACTCGATGATCTTTGCTAAGCTGTTTTGTTGTTCACGTAACAAGGGATCCGGTATACTTGCAATTTCATTACAGCTGTCTATAAAATAATTTGGCATTATTGTTTTGGACAAATTCCTGTACAAATCTTTTAGGAATTCCAACAAAACTGTACCAAGTTGATCTTCTGGCCACCTTGCATAATTGTCTTCACATTTCCAAAACAGATGATTTTTAATATGACTTGCATCTAAACCAATTTTAGCAGTTTCGTTTTCCATAAAAGCCTTGTGCAACGCCAAAGTAAATAGATAGCAACGAATGTGAGAATGTGCTAGACAACTTTCTAGGTAGCGTTCTACTGCAGGAAATATTAATTTCCATTGCAAAGGTTGATTAGGATTTAGACCTCTTTTAATTCTTTGCCCTATTGGTACCAATAAACATCCAAATCCTATAGCTTTGGTCACCTTCTCTTTGTCAGGCCATTGGTACCTGTTATTATTTCTTGGATTTTGTATGACTTTCCTCTCTCGTATAATCCACGGATTAGCTGCATTCGGCCAGGCAGCAAAAAGAGCAGGAAATATTTCATACCCAAATCTGGTGCCATTTCTAATAGTATCACAATAAATACTAGCACCTTGTGTTAACGCAGACTTGATTTCATTGGTACTCAATCCTAATCCAGACCCCAGATTAATGATAAAATCGTCAACAAAATTTTTCATAAATCCCAAAGAGTTGAGGTAATAGCATCTTTCGGATAAATTAGCAGACTGGAGTGCTTTGTCATTATCATCGTCTTCATCTTCATCTTCCAAAACTTCAACATCAACAGGTGACCAAGCTTCTTCTGGTAAAGCTCCTGATGTAAGCGAGTTCTTAGATCTCAAACTGAGTTCTACTATTTTAGGTGTTGCTGCCTCAGTTATAGTAGCATAACCATAGTCTGATTCGTTTTCACTAGATTCAGTTTGCCTGCTACTAGAGTTTGATCTATAACCCGAAGTCTCAGTGTTATCGGTAAGATTGCCTTCTGAAACAGCTGAGCGCATTTCAGATTTTGGGCGTTTTTTTGTAGTCATAATTGGTCCACTCGACCTTCTTTGCCTTATTAAGCTTGTACTTTCGGGAGATATTGAAAAGTCATAGGTATTATCCATTGCAAAATTTTCATTAATATCGTACGCATCATCTTCTTCAGGTACAGAATCTTCTAGAGTTCGATGGCGTATGTTAGAAATATCACTCTTAGTTACTTGAACGCTGTACTGCTTTATCGGTCCACTGTATCTCCTACCTTCACCTCTATTTTGATTTCTGATATTCGTTAGTTTAAGTTCAGTAGACAAGGGCATCTCTTTGTTCTCCATTCCAGTTCTAATTTCTTGTAACAACTCTTCACCTTGTTTAGCACTATAGGGAAATTCATCGGAATAATTAGATTCTTTCGCAGAATCGCTATAAATGCTGTCATCGGATTCTACTTTATTAATATTTATAACTTCATTTTCTTTATGTAGAGTACTCTCCAGAACTTCTAATTTCTTCAATTTAATGTATCCTAAAACAAAAAATATTAACATATGTAAATCAGTATTTCTTAATTTTTTATTATAGGCATATATAATTCTTCTAAAACAGAAAACAGTTTTTATAGTTGTTTAACTACAAATAGTCTATATATTTGGCATTTATTGTTAACTATACCTACCTACATTCTTACCTACTTTACGTATAAAGGTACAGATAGATGCTTTGGTTACGTATCAGTAATAATAATTATACAATTTACATACCTGGATCTATTCCATCCTCAATCCGTAACTTGTAGAAAGGTGCATCAAGAACTGCGCTATAATCGGAAGTATCCCCTGGTTCACTGGCTTCCACGTTGTCATATATAACAAAAAGTCTCGGAGCTAACAATGGCTGTTGTTTGCCTTTGCTATTATATGTGACGTGTTCGTAGACGGACTCTTGCAATCGATCAGCGAAAAACACATGTTTATTTTGTCGCACCATCGCTTCGTTGATCATGTGCTCACGTTCACTTATGGGGTTATTCTTGATTTGATGCATTTCCCTGAAAACAAACACTTAATTAGTTTTATTTCATATTATTTTGGCTCCGGGACCCGGCTGCACCAGAGTGGAACTGCGACGATTTTCAACCGCGCAATTTTGTGAAACAAGGACCAATTACAAGCGGCTGCACTTGCGGTTTTTGTACGATTTTTCGCGATTTGAGTGAAACGGCCGCGGCCGCTCCAGTGCGGTCAGGACCATTTTCTGGTTAGGTTAACCAATTAAAACCTATTACGTAAAATGTAAAAGGAGATTGATTTTTGTAACTCTTAATTATATATGTTGTATTTTCACAATAAAGTTTTAGGTACGAAATTTTGCTAAACTGACACAGGTTGTTATTATTTACTGGTTAATACAAAAAGTCTTACAGTTATTTACAATTCTTTATCTAATTTCTTTTTAACATAACATAAGCAACAGCCACGGCATAAGACATTAATATTTATTTATTGAGGACCCGACAACTTTCATTATTATTTACATACAATTATAATAACCAGGAAGTAAAAATATTTTTAACCTTGTTGGTAGATTATTTAATATTTTACTGAAGTAAATCTAACGAATCAATGTTATCTAAAAGATAGCCAAAGTTAGGGACTTTCCTCTTTAGCTGATAAAAATATTCATGACACAAATTAGCATTAACTTATTGGTAAATTAAACAGATAACTTTATAAAGGACACACACGGTGACCCACAAAATGGATTATATACTTTGTACTCACATCCAGTAATCAATCTTGTGTATTTATAATACCGAAATATGTGTTCGACACAAGTGATAGCATTACGTTAAGTAGGCATACATTTCTTTCATATTACAACTCAGTATTCTAATTACCATCTTGTATGAAGTAAAAACGTTAGCAAACTTTGAATTTATTACATTAATCGCCGCTAATGGTCCAATCTTACACTTTCATTACTGTGAGTATTTTTTTGCGAATACATAAACGATTACAACCAGTCATTTACCACCTAATTCACAGCCTAAAAGTAAAAATATTTTTCAAAAGTATTTGCTTAATTTCTGGTTTTTCTTTCATTTCACAATCTGATAATTTTATTAAATATTTTGAATTAGATAATATTTTTTATTTAATAGTTATGAAGAATATTAATTACGTACATTTTTATTAGATATCTGATGTGAATTATTCGTATATGTATTTTATATAATAAGTACCTACATATTCAAAACGTTTCTTGCCCGCGCGTGCTGGACCATTTACTTATTTGATGTATATTTACTTGGTTTTCTGTTATTTATTGTGAAGAGAAGGTTCATAGTGAATAAAAAAAATCAGTATCATCATATCTAATATTTTACGGGCATCCATTTGCTCCTTTTAACATTAATGTAGAGTGCAAGTTCATTGATTTTTACTGGTTGTTGTTCAGGTAGAACACATCCATGGGTGACTAATATTCGTATACGACGAACTTGTATTTTTGGCAACTAATTTAAATCTACAATTTATGCAAAGATTATCATCTAGTAGGTTTAGGTAATCCATTCAATTAAAAAGGTATTTAAAGAAAATTATCGCAAAATAAATCTGTGCAATGACATTTCGTAATCATATTAAGTATAATTTATAACAACTACATCGATATAATGTATATAGGCATTGTAAGTATAAGGACATATTATATGTATATATACTTATGTATTTCTTATCGCTCGTGACTGATTTTGATTGAGTTCTGTGAATGTGATTAAAAGAAACTGTCGATTCATTTGGTGAACCTATTGTGGATGGAAGATTTAAGTATAACTTACTTTTCATAGTTTTCAAAAAACTGTATTGAAAGAAGGATGTTGTTTAGTAGAAACAGGTCGCTTCTAGTGCGCAGCTCGTTGCGCATTCGTTCCAGAGCCTCTTCATCGTAGGAGCGAATATGAGGCGCCGCCGAACCCGGACTGGGCACCGGAGGCGGCGCGGCCTGCAAATGCGGCGGCAGAGGCTGCTTGTGCTCGCCGGCCCTTCTGTTCGCAGTATCAACCTTGTTGTTCCTTTTCTCGACTTCCCGTCGTTTTTCATATTCAAAAAACGTAGCCGGTTCCTTTAATTTCTCCTTTTTTGATTTACAGTTCCCCATTGATAATAATCACTAAATAAACTTAGATAATATTTACACAACTGTATAGAAGATATATTAAGAAATCACTTTCGCGCACATTTCGATTGACATAATATTATCATATCTTTTTTATTTCTTATTTTCTAGTGTTCCGTGTTTACGTTTGTTCAGGTAAACAATCCGCGCAGAACTGACAAAGTGATTCTCACCAATGGCACTGTAAAATCTATTCTTATCAGGAACCAATAATGATTGGTATACTTATCGTATTTAATTGATTAGAGCTGCAATGTTATGCATGGAATGTGGCGATGTCACTTAAGGTCCACGGAGCCGGTCTCGCATTATGCGTTCGAGCCACTGAAAAATCATTCAATAAGAAAAACTGCATTCTTTGTGCGACACGCTATGTATTACATAGGTACTTTGAAGTATTCGTTACAGACATTGCATGGCATTATTCTATCACCTTTGAAATACACACTCACATTTAATATGTAACTATGTAACCATACCTCGCTTATTTTTGTTATTATTTTACAAGATTATGATGATTTAAGATATACCAATAAAATTATGTGCATAAATGTTAGAAACTCGAGTCACCTACAGTACAGTACACGATCAAACCGGAGTAACGGGAATATCTACTGAACCGGAACCGGAGTACCTACGTCCTGTGTTTTGTGACAACTTGAGAAAAGGAATTATAGGCTTTCCGGGAATTTAAGACTTGTACCATTATTACTCTAACCGTACCTTGTAAAAATATTAGTAACAAAAGGCTTGGTATCAACTATAAACAATATTTATTCGAGTGTGTTGATCTTAGACCATTAGCGCAGAGCGTGTACCGAGTCTTTTTGAGTGTTTTACGAGTCTGACACTCTCTATCGCGTAATTTAGAGCAGGAGCAGCCTTTTGATGATTTTACCCCTCAAAAGCCATCTTCAATCTAATTCTATATTGGCTTCGAAGGTCTGAGAAAAGGAATAATGTAAAATATTGGTAATTTGTGAATCGGACCAGTCCTAGCCCTTTACACAAATCGATACTGTATTCAATAACTGCAGTCGGCAAATTACTTTTTAATTTCAGGAACATCAACATCGAACTGAAAAAATGAGAACGTAATTATAGGTTCCTTTTTCATATGTTAAAAAGCATTTTGCGCAGCAATAGAATATGTAACTGGCTCATTACGTAAAAAAAGAAATCGGTGAAGTGCTTTTGATATTAGTTTTTGTCAAAATTAAACTTATACCTATGTTTTGTCGCGGAGAACATAACGGGTAACCGGGGCTCCGGCTCGACGTACAGGAGAAGGAACGGGGTGGTTTTAGTCAGTAACTGCTCCCGCCTCACCCAGGCGGGAGCAGTCATTCGACGATTTTCCCCCCATAAAAAAACTTATGTTTTATTTTAGTTCCTATATTCCAGTAGCTGGTAGCCCGTAGCCCATATGATCTACATCTACGAAGTGTTCAGATATATTATATTTAAATAGCATTATTAATAAAAAATAAAATGTCTGGTTACAAAATGTATGGATACATTTTATATCAAATAGATGAAACGCGCCGATTTCAAACCAAACTGTGAAGATTTCGATCCAGATTTTATCGCTGCTACTGTTATCAACAATCAATCTAGAAGTATTAATAAAAATATGAAGTAATTATGATTGTTACTTTTCAAAGCACTGAATGTATTTCAAAAAGCAGATAGGTACTTGTCGTTCGTCACAACGAAATCAAAATTGTGATTAAAAGTTATATTTTTTTTCTATTGTCTAGGTTTTAGGTTTTAATGAAAGCAATACAATTCGGAAAACTGAATAATGTTTATTTAAGATCATTCCGGCATTGAAATAGTGGGGCACTCCTCTCAGTTTTCTTTTCACGTAGACTTTTGTTACAAGTAACTTCTAATCCAACCAGCTAGAACTTGGAATTATATTTTTAATGCTAGCTTTATAGATCCAAGTTTAAAAAGCGCTAAGAGTTTGCAATTAAAACTTCAATGTAGTATGAGTTCTGTTACTTAATTTTATGAAACTGACACAGTAAAAAGTACCTTAAACTATTTAACAATAAATAGTCAATTAATTTCTATATATTAAAGTATTTATTCGACTTCGTTGCTAGTAAATAATACATTTAAATGTGTTGTTTTTAATAATTTAATAATTATATCACAATATAATAAAAGTGTAGAATTGTTTAAAAATACAATATTTTACTAATTGCCTACGAGTTGGGATGAAGTCCTAAACAATAATAAGATTCAATTGATTAGCCTACTTATAAATTACTATGTACATGAAGGTTACATACTTTGGCCTATTGAACATATACCAACAAGAAACACATCTTACGAGTTAAATGACAATGAAAGTAAACAATGTACTTACTTAAAATAAAATAGAAATGATCTTACTTTACAGACTGAAATGCACCAATTTAAAAAAAAATCCATTGGTTACTTTACTGAATTTACAAAACGTAGTTCTTAAGACAAATTTTAGATTGTATCACTAATTTATACACCTAACTATGCAAGAACAATAATGCAAGTAGTTGATAAGATAATATAGGCAGTAGGTATATGGGAGTTCTGTATGTAGCAGTGTCAAGGTATATGCCGCAGGACCTCCGCCGGTGGCTCGCTCATGCCCGACTCCTCCATGTTGTTGGCTATGCTCGCGTCGTCCTCCTCAGGAGTTGTGTTCACTCGTCTGCTGGCCTTCATCCGCTTTGCTTCCCCCATTTTCTTCTCTAGTAGTCTCCTGAAATACACATTCATTCTTAATTTTATTTTTATCAACTTAAAGGTTAAGTACACGATCGGGACCAATCGCCAACCTATGTGTCCTTGGTCGGATTGATGTAAAAATCGAAAATGAAGAGATATCGGTTGACCGCGTGATATTTGGCTAATATATTGATATCAGCAAACAACAAGGCCATTGGGCCTTGGTCAGAAGTGCAATATCCGTGGTCGGCCTCAACCGTTTGGCATGCTTCTGAATGACGCAAGCACCGACCAAGGATATGACTGTCAGCGGTCGGTCCTGACCGTGTAAAAGAGGTTTTAATATATTTCATATTTAAGTCGGACAGAATTTCCGCCGGTATCTATACTGAGAAAATACCACATTCCATTAAACGCAGAATTAAAGTGATTAATTTAATTCATAATCTACCGATAAGCCGATATTTGTACTTTTTGTACAAATAAATAACAATAAATAAGGTTTAAGACTACTACGATTTACTATTGAAAGGATTATATGTATTTAATTGTTATTATGATATCAGATTATCGTTAAGTATTTCCATATATCGGATGAATTCTTGGTAACTAATTCTCAAGCATTTTAGTTGTTATATCAGCGATGGTAGCAGATATACCAAACATTGACGGTGAAGGGTGAGCGAGGTAGTTACATATCAATCCAACTGACGACACGCGAGGTAACGATATCAATCACAAGCCAAGAAATTAATTTGTATACGTACATAGGAACAAAATAATCGCGACATTTTCCTCAAGCTTAGATGATAACAACCAAATGACCTTGTCAACAATGCGGGCAGGAGATAAGTATATATCCCTTGAGCAGATGGGGACAGGCTATGTTCATAGTATAAATACTGTACCACTGTACCACTGTACAGTATTTAACAACTGTTGGTGCTGACACAACTGGCGCTCACGCCGACGGTGACTCGGCGTGGGGCAAATGAAAAAATAATCGAAATCCTGTTAAGCAAATGTTTTAATTAAAACTACTTTCTTTCTAATGGCCAACTTGGTCAGTACGGCCGCCTAATTATAAAAATTCTGCCCAGGATCGCAACAATAAAACAAGCACTTCTGTCAAACTACATTAAACCTGACACATTGATATCGAGTTCATTAACATACGTGTCTATTTTATTAATCTTATTGTTCCCAGGGACTTTGTTTTGAATGACCGGTAATCCCTTAATCGTGGAAAAGTGAAGGTCTTGGATATTTACTTAAAAAATGACTCAAAGACGCATTTAAACGAGTTACGCCTTACAAAGAAATTAATGTACTTACTGCTGTCTGCAATCAATGAGCACTCCTAGGAGGAATACAGCGAGGATTGCGATGAGCATCACTACGGTCATACCCACTATCGTGGTCACCGTGAGGGCAGGCAACTCCTCCGTGATCATAGACACTGTGAGGTTGGGATCCGACGTCGATTCGACCACATCTGCAATGAATTCAATTTTCTTTACTACACACACACAGTCACTCTGCAATCTAGTGAAAAACTCCCTATTGAAGGTTTTGACATTCCTACATGCATACCTAAGCGATTACTCACTCATTGACCTTACACAAAAAAGAATATCAGTGCAACAGATCTTATTGATAAGATGTGTATTTCATCAAATTATACACAATTTTGTAATATTTGAATAATTTTTAGAAATCTCTTGAGACACGTAGTGAAATATTTTTAAGTACCTATACATTTTCCATCATCAGTTGCAGTTATATTAGCGAAAAAGTGACTGATTATTGAGTATCAGTATGTGCTTCATTATTTATTAAACAAAATTAATTCGATTGCCAATAAAACCACCTACTTAGGTACCTATATGTATAATATATATCATAAAAACGAATCATAATTATAAGTGATATTAATGAAAGGAAGACGATTACTAACTTTATCGGAAATTGGACCCTTTGTCGTGATTACAAATATAGTACCTACGAATTTGTACCCGTCACAATGACACCAATGTGTTTCGCCACAACAAATTATTATTGGATTTTGTAATATAACACACATACTGGTTTAACGTGTGGGCGAGCCATGCTTCGGCACGAATAGGCCGGCTCGACCGGAGTGATACCACGGCCTCTCACAAAACCGACGTGAAACACGAGAGGCCCAATTTTCTCCTCCCCAATCTCCCCAATCCCCGAAACCTCAAATTCCTAATCCCTAAAAGGCCGGTAACGCATTTGTT